ATCAGCCAGCAAAGTGTGGGCCTGCAGAATGGAGGATCTAGAATATCTGTTCTGGTTTTAGGTTGCAAGGAGGTCAGGACTAGTTATCTTAAGGTCTAGGGGAACCTAGGAGACTGGATGATTCTAGAGCCAGGTTGGAGGGAGGAATAGCATCTCTATATCAGGAAATGAACCAGGCTCTCTCTGGATTTGCTGAGCTCACACTAGACCAGATTTCCAGGAGGGAACTCTGGGCTAGAACCATACTCTTAAAATCTACCCGGATATTATTCACCTTTTATTAAGAAAAAACTATTTGCACATTACATGGTAATATTTCTTCAACTGAAGAGAGGATAATAAACATGTTAAGTATGAAAAATATTTTTATGGAAGTAGAGGTTGAAGGGATTAATGGGGAAGATGGAATGAAGTTTGGGAGAGGGAAAGAAAAATCCAATTGTTTATTCCTTTAGCAGATATCTCAAAGGAGAGTAGTAATTTAGCATTAGAATGGAGAGTGCTTTCTTTAATTATATATTTTCTTAATAGAAATAATCCAAAATTATTATTTTTTTGAGATGGAATTTCACTCTTGTGGCCCAGGCTGGAGTACAATGGTGCAATCTTGGCTCACTGCAACCTCCACCTCCCAGGTTCAAATGATTCTCCTGCCTCAGCCTCCTGAGTAGCTGGGATTATGGGTGTCTGCCACCACACCCGACTAATTTTTGTATTTTTAGTAGAAATGGGGTTTCACCATGTTGGCCAGGCTGGTCTTCTGACTTCAGGTGATCTGCCTGCCTCGGCCTCCCAGTGTGCCGGGATTACAGGAGTGAGCCACTGTGGTGGTCAGATTCACCCATTCTTTTTTTTTGGGATGGAGTTTTGCTCTTGTTGCCTAGGCTGCAGTGCAGTGGTCCTATCTTGGCTCACCGCAGTCTCTGCCTCCTGGGTTCAAGTGATTCTCCTACTTCAGCCTCCCGAGCAGCTGGGATTACTGGCTAATTGTGTATTTTTAGTAGAGACGAGATTTCTCCATGTTGGTCACAGGCTGCTCTCAAACTCCTGACCTCAGGTGATCTGCATGCTTCAGCCACCAAAAATTCTGGGATTACAGGTGTGAGCCACCGTGCCTGACCTTTTTTTTTTTTTTTTTTTTTTTGAGACAGGGTCTCCCTTTGTCCCCTAGGCTGGAATACAGTGGCTTTGATCATACCTCACTGCAGCCTTCACCTCCTGGGTTCAAGGGACCCTCCTACCTCAGCCTCTTAAGTAGGTAGAACTATAGGCATGCATCACCATGCCCAGATAATTTTTTAGTTCTTTTGTAGGGAAGAGAGCTCCCTATGCTCCCTGGGCTGGTCTGCAGCTCCTGGCCTCACGCAGTCCTTTTGTCTAGGCCTTCCAAAGTGCTGGGATTACAGGTGTGATATCATACCTGGCTACTCATTCTTTTTAGGACTTTTTTTTTTGCCCCTTCTCCTGGAGTCTCGCCCTGTTAACCAGGCTGGAGTGCAGTGGTGTGATTTCAGCTCACTGCAACCTCTGCTTCTTGGGTTCAAGCGATTCTTCTGCCTCAGCCTCTCAGAGTAGCTGGGATTACAGGCATGCACCACCCAGACCAGCTAATTTTTGTATTTTTAGTAGAGATGGAGTTTTGCCATGTTTGCCAGGCTGGTCTCGAACTCCTGGCCTCAAGTGATCTGCCTGCCTTGGCCTCCCAAAGTGTTGGGATTACAGGTGTGAGCCACAGTGCCCGGCCAGGGCTTTTTTTTTTTTTTTTTTAATCACAGTATGCTGTACTAATTTTATTATGATCATAGCATGACAGGTCTAGTCTTCCTTCCCTTTTCTCTCACCAGCACTGTTTATTATGTGTTTTTTAATTTTTGTAAGCAGAACGCACTTAAACATTGCCTTTCTATCCTTATATTGTCTTTATTATATTGTAGTTACATTGTCTTTCTACCCTTTTATTATAAAATTTCTCTGAGGGAACTTATGAAAAACAGTAGTCCCTGTCTCACCTGTCTATTACAGTTCCACTTTACTGAGGCTGCTATTTCTAAGCATTAATTTTGTATTTCTTAACCATGCTTTTTTCCATGTCTCCAAGTAATAGGCATATAATATCATTTCTTGATTTATCAGGGAGTCAGAAGACTTCTATGAATGTGTCATTGACATTATCCCCTTTCTCCTTCTTTCTGAACTTTGGTAGTTAATTTAGTTATTTTATTCAGTGTGTTTATGTTTTTTATTAATATGCATAAACCTTGATTTTGGAGTCCAACAGTCTTAGGCTTTATCTTTTGACTTCCCCACTATATAAGATAAGGATTTAGCCTAGATAAGGCTTTCCTGAAGTAGAAGGAACATTGACAATTACAGTAAAAATACTGTATGAGATGATAAAGGGAAGTTTGGATGGACCTATCAAAAAGACCATGTTGTAGGAAACATCTAAGCATAAGATTTGCTTGTTAGAATGTTCTTTCTAGGCTTCTATGACAATTCTTTTTTTTTGTTTTTTGAGGCAGGATTTCACTTTGTTACCTAGACTGTAGTGCAGCGGCGTGATTTTGGCTCACTGCAGCCTCCACCTCCTGGGCCCAAGCAATCCTCCCACCTTAGCCCCACAGGTAGCTGGGAATACAGGCATGTGCCACCACTCCCAGCTAATTTTTTTGTAAAGATGGGGTTTTGCCATGTTGACCAGGCTGGTCTTGAACTCTTGGGCTCAAGTGACCTGCTTGCCTCAGCCTCCCAAAGTGCCAGGATTACAGGCGTGAGCCACTGTGCCCGGCCACAATTCTTACGTTTTTATTTTTAGGAGGGAATGGATTGGTGTGGACACATATTTTTTTCGGGGATGGGGGGAAGGAGAGATGGGGAAATGTGATAGGAGGAGGAGGATGAGGAACCGGGTTTGATGATGGTGGTGATACATTTTGAGGAGGCTAAAGAAAAGGTAAAGTATTTTGAGGGGATTTGGATATAGTTATTGTGACGGAAGTTTACCTTATGGAGATGAGACTAGAATTTTTGTCACTTTTAGGGAAATTAGCATGTTTAAATTACTAATATGTTGGGAATGTGGTAGGCAAAAACTATACTGGGCTCGATCTCATATGTTAGGATAGAGTTGTAAAATATTAGTGTTTTTGAAATTTGTATATGAGATGCAAATCATTGTGGTGGATATTGGGAAAATAGAAAGATACTGTTATACTTTTTTTTAGGAGCCTTTAAATAATGGCACCTCAACGTTGCCCAGGTTGTAGTGAGTGCAGTGGCGCAATCTCAGCTCACTGCAATCTCTGCCTCAGCCTCCTGAGTAGCTGGGACAACAGGCAGGCGCCACCACGCCCAGCTAATTTTTTTTGTATATTTAGTAGAGATGGGGTTTCACCATGTTAGTCAGGATGGTCTCGATCTTCTGACCTTGTGATCTACCAGCCTTGGCCTCCCAAAGTGCTGGGATTACAGCATGAGCCACTGCGCTTGGCTAAAAGTCCTCTGTACTTTCAGTAGCAACACTATTCACATGTAGGTTATGTATTGCTAAATTTTGTATTTGTGACAATTATTCTCTTTGTTTTGCAAATGGTAGATGGTAACCTGTTCTAGAGCAGAGACTTCCTGTAGTCTCTAGGGAAACTCACAACAGGCTGATTCTTTTTTTTTTTTTTTTTGAGATGGAGTTTTGCTTTTGTTGCCCAGGATGGAGTGCAATGACGAGATCTTGGCTCAACGCAACCTCTGCCTCTTGGGATCAAGTGAGTCTCCTGCTTCAGTCTCCCGAGTAGCTGGGACTACAGGCACGTGCCACGATGTCCAGCTAATTTTGTATTTTTAGTAGAGACGGGGTTTCTCCATGTTGGTCAGGCTGTTCTTGAACTCCTGACCTCAGCTGATCTACCTGCCTCGGCCTCCCAAAGTGCTGGGATTACACGCGTGAGCCAACAGGTTGATTCTTAAGTGCTTAATAAATACCTGTTGAATGACTGATGGAAAGTAGGGTTCACTATTAGCGATAATAGTGGGATTGTATGAAATTGCTGAGTACTGTGGGGTATTGTAGACAAAACTGTATGTGTGTGTGTTTGACAGCATGAAGGACAAAAGGGATATCTGACTGGAGGAGGACCTTTAGATTTAAGGGAAGAAGGCAGACTGGATTAGAATGGAACTGCAAGAGTTCTGCAACAACGTTGAAGATCAAGGGGTCTCTTCTAAATTTGAGGCTAGTTTAATCTGGAGTAAAATCTGGTCTGTAGCAGGGTGCTGTTTTAATTAGATTTTTTTTTTCTTTAGGCATAAATGACTGTTTTAAGACAGTCTGATTTAATTCATTTTTAGGATAGTAAAAATAACAGATAAGCTTCTTCCCTCAAGAAATTTATAGTATTTACATTCTTTTTTTTTTTTTTTTTTTTGGGGGGGGTGGAGTCTTGCTCTGTTGCCCAGGATGGAGAGCAGTGGAACGATCTCGGCTCACGGCAACCTCCGCCTCCTGGGTTCAAACAATTCTCCTGCCTCAGCCTCCTGAGTAGCTGGGATTACAGCAGCATGCCACCATGCCTGGCTAATTTTTGCTAATTTTTGCATTTTTAGTAGAGGCAAGGTTTCACCATGTTGGCCAGGCTGGTCTCGAACTTCTGACCTCAGGTGATCTGCCCACCTTGGCCTCCTAAAGTAGTATTTACATTCTTTTGAGAGAGAAAGATAGTTGGAAAATAATTCAGTAACAGTGTAAGATTTCAGAAGATTGATTTTTAAAAACAAATATCAAAATTATATCTCCAGGTAAGAATTTTTATATTTGGGTGGTCATTTTCAGTAGCAGTGTTCAGAATATTTTTAGAACACCTTTTCTGAATTAATTTCTGAGTATAACTATATAATTTGCCTATTTATTGAGTACCTATTGTGTGCTGTTGGGGGAGGGGTCTATAAAGGTAAGTAAAACGTGGTCCCTATCTGCCAGGAGTTCATAATCCCTCCAAGAGGCATACTTTTTTTTTTTTTTTTTTTTTGAGATTCCAGTATTTGTCTTCTGGAGAGTTTTAGTGTGGGAAATCTGGAAATGTATTAAAATGACCCTGGAATGTTCTTTCCAGGCTTCTATGGCAACTTTTATTTTTATTTTTGAGAGAGGGTCTTATCTTACTCTGTCACCCAGGCTGGAGTCCAGTGGCATGATCTTGGCTCACTGCAACCTCTGCCTCCCGGGTTCAAGTGATTCTCCTGCCTCAGCCTACCAACTAGCTGGGACTACAGGCACGTACACTACCACCCCTGGCTAATTTTTGTATTTTTATTAGAGACAGGGTTTCACCATGTTGGCCAGACTGGTCTTGAACTCCTGGAGTCAGATGATCTGCCTGCCTCGGCCTATCAAAGTGCTGGGATTACAGGTGTGAGCCACTGCACCTAGCTTAAGGGGCATACATTTGTTTGTTTGTTTTTTGAGACAGAGCCTCTCTTTGTTGCTTAGGCTGGAGTGCAGTGACGCGATCCTGGCTCACTGCTACCTCTGCCTCGCAGGTTCAAGCAGTTCTCCTGCCTAAGCCGTAGCTGGGACTACAGGCATGCACCACCACACCCAGTGTATTTTTTTGGCAGAGGTAGGGTTTCACCATGTTGGCTAAGCTGGTCTTGAACTCCTGGCCTCAAGTGATCACCCACCTGAGCCTCCTAGTGCTGGGATTTCAGGCATGAGCTACCATGCCTGGCCAAGAGGCACAGTTTTAAATAATACATGGCATAAGCTTATTATGAATGGTCTCATTGATGACAAATCTTTTTACTTCGAAATTTTGGTTTTTAGAAATGCCGAAGATCAGTCAATATCAAATAGAGTGAATAAAGAACAGTTTTGCCTTAAATTCAGTTAATCACAGAAATGGGAATAACTTTCTTGGTTGACTTACTAGCTGATTTTGAAAACACTCCCAAGGAGGAAGTTGGAAATATTTTGAACAGGGGTGATAGTTTCACATGTAGTTAGGTAGACACTAGATAAATGTTGGTTGAGTGCATCAGATGGTTGGGTAGATGGAGTGAATAAATGAGTAAGTGGTAGCCTTCCAAAGTAACTTAAAGAGGACCATACTGATTTGAATGTGTAAACAAATTCTTATTAAAAAAATTCAGTTTTCTCAGATGAAATAAATTCTGAGTATATTTGTTAACAATTTTATTACCTGGAGCAAGATAGTTTAAGTCCACAAATGAGTTTTACAGACATTAAGTGCTGTAGGAGTTCAGGGAATGGAGAAATGAACATTGGCTAAGGTTTGGTGAAATTATTTAAGTGAACCATACTTTAGCTTGATGTTTGGAAAGATTCCTTAGGGATCTCAGAGAAGAACTGAATGACTTCAAATTTCTCTTGCAGCCCTAAAGTGAACCTAGAATCTGGATCTATTTTTGTCTGAATGCTTTCTGCCTGTTTCATTTTAGCTACTCCTACTGGTTTGTTACTTTCAAATTCACATTTGTTTGGTAGATGTTGAGCCCCCTGAAACAACTGTGGGGTCTGTTTTCAGTCATTGTAGAGTATAACTTTTAGTTGTTCTTTTATGAGCCTGTACCCCACAAATTACTTGGCCTTCATGAGTGAAGAGCATGAGTCAACTTGGCCCTGTTATCCTGGCATTTTCCTGCATGCTTTTCTCAAAGCTGCTTTCTGAATTACAGAATAGAATAGACAGAACTGAGGGCATGTGTCCAGTAGGCACAAGTTTGTTGAATGAATGAATGAATGAGATATTTGAGATAATTTAGGAGATCTGAATTATCTATATGTTTTATGTTTCTTTTCATTTATTCATAACCTGCCTTTTTCTACAAATGACTTAATGGGGCTGCCAGAATATATGCACTAGCAATGAACTGAAATAATTCAAGAAGTCTGGTTAAAAAGATGGTGAAGAAAAGAAAGACCTGTTTAAAGAATATAGATCAGTGTGTATGGATGTTAGAGAACTAGGAATAAGGAAGATAAGCAGATGGGGAAGAAAAGGTGGTACCTGATAGAAAGGATGATTTTGAAGAGAGGAAAAGATTACTGAAATATGGCAGGCTATGTTTAGGGGAAAGCATGAGAAGATGGAAGGTAAAGAGGATATTTGAAAGGGCTATTTTGAGGAGGAAGATGGTTAAGCTATTTGAAGGAAAAGAGTCAACAGAAGTTTGGAATATAGTAGAAGTTATTAAATTATGTTGATTTATAACTGAGGGTTTCAGAAAATGATGGGATAAATTTTCTTTGTTTAACAGATAATACACATTTGTTATATGCAAAAGCATATAATGCTTTGCAGTCAGGAATAAGTCCTCTGGGATTTATATTCTGGTAGGGAGCTGGAGTTGTGCACAAATACCTGTACTATCATCACAAATACATCTGTGATTCACAAATACACCAAATATTACTGAATTTAAAAGGCAGAAAATGCATTTGATTAGGAGAAACATGGGGCAGCATTTTAATGGCATAAAAGGGGAATTTTAGCTAGTCTTTGAAGGGATTGATAGGATTCTTTTTTTTTTTTTTTTTAAAGTTTTAGATTGATAAGATTCTGATTGGCAAAGGTTACTGAAAGAGAGCATTCCAGCCTGAAAGATTAGTATAAGCAAAGGCTTGGAGGTGAGAAGCCCAGGAGATGTGGGGAATGGTGAGTTAGATTTTAAGTTTTAAACTATGACCTATAGTAAGAAATGCATGTCACACTTCATCTAAAATATGCATGTATAAATGTTTATGTGTGTGGGAAAAACAAAAAGTTTCATAATACAGTAACTGTCCTTACTGTAGTAGATGCACTTGGATGTTATCTATTTTGTTTTACTAAAAAGAAAAAAAACTGGCCATGGGGAAAGAAATAAAAGGTTGTTGTCACTCCTTAAACTGATTTTATGACCAACAAATTAATTGATCACAATCTATAGTTTGGAACACAGAGAGTTCATGATTAAGGTATAACATAAGGTAGGAGAGTCAGTTGGGGTTGGGTTGAAAATGGATGGCCTTGAAAGCTAAGCTAAGTAGTTTGTATTTGATATTATGTAGTATTGTGCTTGGTAAGCAAACAGAAGCTGGGTTTTAGTCTTGGCTCTTCTGTTTGCCCACTGTATGATTATGGAGAATTATTTCCTTTCTGAGTTTCCATTTTCTCATCAAGTTGATAATCATACCTTCCTGGCAAGGGTTGTGGTGAGAATGTGAGAATTAAAGTGTGTTAACATAGGATTAAGGTATGTTAGCATACATTATTAGTGTATATAGCTGTTGAACTTTCCTGAGTAGGGAATGGAGCCAAGGACTGTATATTAGATAGCTTCATCTGGCAGTAGCTATACCTTACTGGATAGATTGTGGATAATGTGGTGGTAGAGTAACATTGTATGTGAAAAGACCAGTCAGAAAAAAAGAAAAGACCAGTTAGGTGGCTCCTGGAGAAATTAAAAAGGGCTTGAATTAGTTAGATAGCAGTAGGATTAGAACATGGGAGTGGGATGCAGTTGGAGGTAGGGAAGAGGGGAAGATGAGTGAAAATGCACTATTTATTTGTTATTAATGAATGAATGAATGAATGATAGGCTCTTGATCTGTTGTCCAGGCTGGAGTGCAGTTGTGTGAACATAGCAGCTCATTGCAGCCTCTACCTCCTGAGCTCAAGTGTTCCTCTTGCCTCAGCCTTCTGAGTATCTGGAACCACAGGCATGTGCTACCATGCCTGGCTAATTTTTAATTTTTTTTCTAGAGATGTGATCTCACCATGTTGCCTGGGCTGATTTCAAACTCTTGGGCTCCATTGATCCCCTCCCTTGGCTTCCCAGAGTGTTGGGATTACAGGTGTGAGCCGCCCCACGCCTGGCTGACTGGAAATTTAGAGTTGTAGAAATATTCAAATGGCAGCAGCTGAAATTGGATTATATTTTTGGGTAGTTTAGTGGAATACATTAGAGTTTCAGTTTCTTTCATGTAGTAGGTGCTCAATTATTTCTGGAATGATAGAAACTAAATATGTGAACTGTGGGATGAATTGTGAGTAGAGGCAGTGATGGATGGATATGAGAAGGAGGGCTAGGCTGAAGGATACGTTGATGGACTGCCAGAATTTATTCATTCAGGGTATATTTTTATATTTACTGTGCACAAGGTTCTATGGCAGGCAGTGTGAAGGATACATGTTTATATATGACACAGTCCGTGTTCTTCAGGAATTTATCCAGGGACAAAATAAACACGTCTGCCCATGACACCAGTACTATGGCAAGTTTGATCAGGATTGGCTTTGTGGAGAAATTGTTGTGTAGCATAGACCTTGAGGGATAAATAAGATAATAGTAGGCAAGATGGTGATGGTTGGCTGTTCAAGAAGAAGGGGTGATATAAGTGACAGTAAGCAAAGTTCAGGGTATGTTTAGGGGTTGGTGGTCTAGGTTAGCTATAATTTAGGGTTCGTGTTGAGGAATGGCGGGCAATAAAGCTGAAAAGTAGGCAGACTATCTCAAAATTCAGGCTAACCTGGTTTTTGAAAATTTATTAAGATATATACAGTAAAGTGCCCCAATCTTAAGGGTACAGATTAATGAGTTTTTCTTAGGTATAAATATATGTAGCCACCACCCAGTTCAATATACAGGACGTTTCCAGCATCCAGAAGGCTGCCTTGTGTGTCATTTCCAAGCCGATAACTCATCCAACCAAAAATAACTATTATTCTGACTTCCCTCATAACAGAGTAGTGTTGTGTGTTTTTGAATTTTGTGTAAGTGGAACCCTACTTGTCTAGTTTCTTTTCCCAAGGAGCCTGTCTGTGAGTTTTATCCATGTTGTGTTTTTCATTGTGTGGTATTCCATCATATGAATATACCACAGTATATTTATCTATATCATGATTATTGGTCGGTTGGGTGGTTTCAATTTTTTTGAAGTCTGAGGAGTTTTTTTTTTCTGTCTTTTTTTTTTTTAAAGCCAGAGTCTCACTCTGTCACCCAGGCTGGAGTGGTGTGATGTCTGCTCACTACAATCTCCACCTTCTGGGTTCAAGCGATTTTCCTGCCTCAGCCTCCTGAGTAGCCAGGATTACAGTCATGCAACACCATGCCCAGCTAATTTTTGTGTTTTTAGTGGAGATAGGGTTTTTGACATCTTGGCCAGGCTGGTCTCGAACTCCTCACCTCAAGTGATCCACCCACGTTGATCTCCCAGATTGCTGGGATTATAGGCGTGAGCCATCGTGCCTGGCTGAAGTCTGAGGAGTTTTAACTTAGTCAGTATGCAGTGGAGAACCATCGTTGATGTTTGAATTGGTAAATAAGAGACTATTTAAGAATATTAATCCGGTGACCTTTTTTTGTAATGAAGAGAATCTGGTGACTGGGAGACAAAGTTAGGAAGACCATGGCAAAAGTGTGGAGTAGGCTGGTCATGGTGGCTCACAGGCGTAATCTCAGCATTTTGGGAGGCTGAGGCA